GCTGTAGTGTGTTTGGCAACCAAATTGTAAACAAAGTAAAATTGCACTCTGCTAATTCATGTTGCAAAGTATTTAATTACTTGTTTAAGTGGATTCTAATGAATTTTAAAGTATTTTTGGTTATTTACATGTGTGAGCTGAGTGTGTTTACATACAAAATAAGCAAAAATTTACAACCAAAATTTGGAGGTTATGTTGAAGTTGACAGAAGTTACTATTTTTTACTAGAAAGCGATCCCGTACTTTTCAATGTTACTCTCTCGCTCTGGCGAATTTTTATTTTTTGACATTTTTACTAGTCCGAGTCAGAGGAATACGGGATTGCACCTATTTATTTGCAACAGCTGACGAGCGACGCACGCGAAAAGATGAGAGTTGGACATCTTTTTGCTTTGTGTTGGCGTGAGCGTTGCCAAATTTTGGCTATGTGGACGGCTGCATTTGAATTCATGTATTCATAGTCAGCTGTTGAAGTGACGCCAACGCAATGCCAAAGTTCTATGTGGACGGGCCTTAAGCGATTTTGGCCGAGTCCAAAACAGCACGCATACATATGTATGTAAGTGAAACAGAGTTGTGTGTGGATTCCACGCGCGTTTGAACTGAAACCCCTTATTTCTATAGCTCACCATAATATATTTAATGAACAACTACTATCTTATTTTATTCTTAATCTAATCTTCATCCCTTCTTTGGTCGCTTTTTCTTTTCATCGGAGTTTGGATTTAAGCCCTAAAGAAGTTTCACTTCAAAAATGATTTATTTGAATCTTGCAAATGAGGGTGCAGATTTTTGGGAAATACCTTAACACTAAACCAAAGTATGTATTTACATATGTATGTGTTAACATACATATATACATATATGTATGTTGTTGACATACAATTATCTTTTTTGCTCAATATTAACCAAATTATAACACTGTCACCGCAATAAAGCACACTCACCACAACACACCCCCAACTCTGTCCTTCTATAGAACTGAATAAAGAGTCAACAGACACCAACCTATGTACCTATGCATGTTGTAAACAATAAACGTCAACAACAGAAAAGCAAAAACAACAAAATCAATCCCCTTCAACGAAGAAAGCGAACAAAAGCAATAATATTTGTCTGGCAATGAATGGCAAGCGAAGGATCTACTGAATGCCCGTCGTTCAGCATGAATAAGGACATTTAAACAATCGGCAACAGTCGCTAAAAACAATGTTTGCGAAGCCGTCGTTGCTCGTATTCACAATTTGAGTAGAAACAATTGATTCAATCTTAACATGGGGTTGTATTTTGTATGCGTCTTGAGATTTGCATTCGCAAAAAAGATGTATGGATTACCATCTCAGGATAACAAAGAAAGCTTTCACCACTTGGCAGCGACATTTTTAAGGAAAAAAATGGAATTTGGGGAACAAAATTAAATATGCGAGAGAAACGCTAACATTAGGAAATGTTGGAAATTTCAGAACAAATGCAGGAATGCATAGAATAACATATTTTTAAACATTACCCATACGTACATATGTAATATGTACAGATGCGTGCAACTAATTACCAACGAAATTCAAAACGATATTGCTTGCAAATTATGTTTATTTATTTATTTTTAATAATTTTCATTTAAAATATAATTCAATCTATATCAGAAACCACAATAACAAAAGTTGCAAAGCTTGCACAAATTGCAAAAAAATTAATCAAACTTCAAAAAATTGTCATCAAAATTTCAAAATTTTTAATAGACTATTTAGAAAATTTTCGGGTATGCAGTTTTGTAGCCCATTCATTTTAGTGTAATAAAGTGCAAGTTTCAAGTCGCTAAACATTACCTTTGATTTTTTAGAGGGTGTTGCGCATTTTCTTCCATATAACACAGATCAAAATTTTTTTTTACATGGAAAAAAATCCGCAACACCCTCGACAAAAAAAATTCTAAAAAATCAACGGTAATTTTTAGCGACTTGAAACTTCCACCTTATTATACCAAAATTGAATGGGCTAAAAACTGCATACCCCAACATTTCGTAGCAAAGGCAATGATGGCACTGGCAACATTTTCAGGTTGACTGCTGAACAAAGCTACTGAATGGCTGTGAAAAGTGTATAGCATGAACAGTAATAACGACAGCAATTCAGGGATAGATAGGGCATCCTAAACCCTGCACTAAGCATGTGTTTATGTATGCACACACTGTATAATCCCATTCCAAAAACGGTGGCAATACACTTACAGTGAAAAGCCAAACCAGTTAGTAGATCACTTGGTAGAAAAAATCTTTCAGTTATACGTTTAACGACATCAAAATGAGAAGCCAGTTAATTGGTCTTCCCGCGAATGCCGGCTGAGGCATCGATTAGAGACTATCTACCGTTTCTGATTCTTGAATCGCAGCGTCGAGTCTTAGAGGTATTGAAGATAGATTTTCAAAATTGATGGATTATCAATTATTTTGAACTTTTTATTTTTAAAATTTTAACTAAAACAAAAACGATTTTAAATTCAGCTGCAAAACTAAGAATCACATGAAATTTAAAAAAATGCCGATCTATTTCTACTACACCTCAAACTGTAATGCCGCTACTAACAGGGCTCTTACAAGATATGTATTTGCATATGTAAATGCTACTTTTATCATATATTAGAACGTGTCAGAAAAGTAGAATTTACATATGAAAATACATATCGTGTAAGAGGGCTTTAAGTAGTATTTCTACTGGTTGATATTGATTGACACTTCGTAGGACATTGCCAAATTGAAAAATACTATTTTGTTAGTATGGTTAAAGATATAAGACGACTTAGATGAGCTAACTAGTATTCTACATACATAGTTCCAACTTGTAAGTTTTACCTGCAGGGATATGCAAATGTATGTATTTATGTTTGGTACATACCATCTCTAGTTATTTTAAGGGGAGATGAAATAGCAAATTCTATCTACATACTATGTACATCAATATGTTTGTGTTTTGTTAGAAGGTTACATAATACATAGATATGTATGTATTTATATTCATGCATTCATAGCTTTCTAGATTTAGTTTTTATTGGTGTGCCCAGGAGAATTCAAAAAATTCACACACAAATGTTGCTATTTTCACTTAAGGACACCGAGGGAGCTTATAAACCTGTCTTGCACATTTAGTAGAGTCAAATTAGGGTAGGAAATCGGGCATCTAGCAACTTTTGCATTTGCATTCCGATCAATTCTTTTTGAGGACATAAAATGGAGGGAATAAAAGTTAACGGTACTAGAATTTTATGAACTACAAAAGTGCATACTCTAAATTTTTCTAAGAATTCGAAATGAAAAATTTTAAATTTCATAAAAAATTTCTTATACTTTCTACGAGTTCTGCATGCAATTAAAAAAAATCGATTCTTGTGGGTTTTCCCATTGATTGAACTATATATTTTATAAAAAAAAAATGTATTGTTCTCCGTTTTCTTCAGGATTCCTACGGCCAATTGCCCGAAGCAGTCGATGACATTAACGGTACATTAATATTCAAGAATGTCAGCACCGAGCATCGTGGCAATTACACCTGTGTGGCAAACAATTCACAAGGACACATCAATGCCACTGTAAGTGTGAATGTAGTGGTAGCGCCGCGTTTTTCCGTTGCGCCCGAAGGACCCATCGAAACAGGCGAAATGGGGCTGGCGGTGATGCACTGTCAAGCTATTGGTGATCCCAAACCAACAATAAAATGGGATAAGGATTTAAAGTATTTAAGCGAAAATAATACGGACAAAAATCGTTTTCGTTTCCTGGAGAATGGCACGCTCGAAATACGTGATGTACAACCGGACGATGAAGGTCGTTACGGCTGCACGATAGGCAACAGTGCCGGGCTGAAGCGGGAGGAGGTGCGTTTTGTTGTTAAATGTAAGTACATTTTAGACCAACACCCACTTTCAGTGCCATTTTTTTTTTGATTTTTGAAGAGCCAAATAAAAACTTGAGAGTTTAATAGAAGCTAAGTTGATAAAAAAAGTTACAGATGTTGATTAGGATTCCCCCTCAATCTTTCATCCATGTGTAGCCTCCGAAGGTGCGACCTCTGAAGAATCAGGTGATGGCTTCCTTATCACACGCGCCGTTCTCATCACTATGTCTGTGGCGTTTGCCTACATTATCCTGGTTGTAGGCTTAATGATTTGGTGTCGCTTCCGTCGTCAAGCGCGCAAGGCACGTCTAAATGAAATGAATAAAGATAACCCCGAGTCAGGTGAACTGGGCAAATTACCCGAAAATGAGCCTTGCCTGCCAGAACACGCTTCTTCAGCAAAGACACGCAAAGTAAATGGTAATAACAATCCTCGCGGCAGCGGCAACGAGGCAGCAAAATCCGATGATACAGCCTGTAGCAATCATTCGAAGGGTTCGAAACGTTCGCATGCCCTAGACCAGTTGGCTTTGCCGCGCTCGAGTATCACTGAGTTACTACAGATCGGACGAGGAGAGTTCGGCGATGTTTTTGTGGGTAAAGTAAAGGCGTCGGTTATACGTCAGGTGGACGAAAAAGATATGGAAACGGAGAGACACAATGGTGGCGAAAATAATGGTGCAATTACTTCGATTGAAAAGCGACGCTCGAAAACGTCAATGGATGACATTGAGGAGATCAGAGAGGAGCAAGAGGCCGGTAGCGCCGATGGGGACACAACATCTACGACAACAGATGAATATAAATTAGTATTGGTTAAAGCATTGAATAAATTCAAGGATGAAAATATTTGCCATGAGTTTAAAAGACAAATCGACATGTTTCGTGCCATTTCACACAAAGGTGTGGTGCGTTTGTTTGGGCTATGTCGCGAGAAAGACCCTCATTATATGGTATTGGAGTACACAGATTGGGTAGGCAAAAAAAAGTAAAAAAGTGAATGGATTTCCTAATAACTTTTCATGTACTCTATTGTTAGGGTGACCTAAAGCAATTCCTCTTGGCCACTGCGGGCAAGGTAAACACCTCGAATAATTCGTCGCAGTCGCCTCCGCCGCTGGTGACAGGGCAAATCTTGGCGGTGGCATACCAGATTGCACGTGGAATGGATGCAATTTACAGAGCGCGATTCATACACAAGTAAGTATTGGAAAAGTTATGTAATTTTCTCATAACACTGGATCACAAATTTTAATTTTGATTTTGTTCTCCAAACGCCACTATCTACTTTGTATACAGAATCGCTCGCTGATTCCGAAAATCGAGTTAATTTTTTTTTTTTTTTGTATGGATACGTTTTCGAGATATTTGCAATTTACCGTTATTCAGTTTAAAAATAAGAGTGGTTCCACTTAATCAGGTATATCTCACGAACCAATTAAATATGTTTGGTTTTTTTCATGGAAAAATGCAAAAAATTCAAACTTTAACTGGGGAAAAAATCAAGAAATAACAGTTTTTGTGTGCCTGTCCCTTTAGAAAAAAACTAAGCTACCAATGACGAAAATCGATGGATAAATAATTAAGAAAATAATGATTGGTCAAATGAAAATGCGCAAGGATTTTTATTATTAAATATGAGTAGAAAAGAGTGTTACTCATAAGCCGGTGTAGGTAGAATATGTACATCGAAAACAAGAGGTGTCAGAAATGATTAATTAATTTCTCAGAAACTATCAGCGCTTTCGAAAAGTGAGGTATATACGGTTTATGGAGAATTTTATTTGCTTGAATTTCCCGTATATCGCATTATGATTATTCAATTGTTTCATAAGATATACGTGATTAAGTGAAATCACTACATATGTTTTAAAGCTGAATAACGGTAAATTTCAAATATCTCAAAAAGTTCTTCATAGAAAAAAAATTATATCTAGATTTTCGTAATCATCGAGCAATTCTACATAGGAATTGGATAGTGGCATCCATAGAACATTTTTGCTGTAAACCAGTTAATAAAACTTAACATTCTAACGAAGCTTTTTAGCTTTTTAAAGACTTTCAACAGACTTCTTTTACTACCATAATCACCATAAATTAAACAAGAATTTATCTAAAATCTTATTTCAAGGGACTTAGCCACCCGCAATTGCGTAATCTCTAGTGATTTTATCGTAAAGGTCTCATATCCCGCTTTGTCCAAGGACAAATACAGTCGAGAGTACTACAAACATCGCAACACTCTACTGCCCGTGCGTTGGTTGGCACCTGAATGTATCCAAGAGGATGATTACACCACAAAGAGTGATATCTTCGCATTTGCCGTTATTGTGTGGGAGCTATTCAGTCAAGCCACAAAATTACCATTTGAAGAGCTGAGCAACGAAGAGGTTATACAACGAAGCCAAAATGGAAAATTGGAGTGGGCATGTGCGAATGGTACACCAGACAGTTTGAAGGAGATTTTGGTGAGTAATTTTTTTAAGTTTCTTTTGGCAAGGGAAGACATTGATGGTAATTACATATGTTAAAATCTAATGAAAATGAATAAAATAAAATAAAAATTAGTTAGTTAAATTTCGATCAAATAAACTAAGTTAACACTAAAAACATAATCATACTCTAACATGCCTAAAAGATAGTCATGCGTAAAATTAACGCATGAGTTTAAACGAGCAATATTGTCTTATTTTAATGGTTAATTTCGAATCAACTAATATGAACTATATATTTCCATATTTATAAACAACAGTTGGCCTGCTGGAACTCAAACCCGAAAGAACGACCCTCATTCAGTCAACTCTGCTCTGCACTCAGTAAATCAATGCAAAATGGTGATAAGTAAATATATATATATATATATATATGTATGTACGTTTTTCTACTTACTTTTTCTACTACTCCAATTATAAATATGTATGTACATACTAACAAAAGATTGGCATAAATTTGTAAGTCTTAACTGAGGGGTAATATAAATTGTGTTAAACACATCTTGAAAAGCAACTTAAAGCCTAAATTTTCGTAGAAATATTACGCGATAAATCCGCCAAAAAATTGCCATTTTTGTAAAAGAATTTAAAAAGTACGATGCATACACATGTGTATGTATGTATGAACGTGTTGTATGTACATATTTTTGGCAACAGTAAATCTGTTCTATATTCTAATATATGCATATGTATGTACGTTTTGACAAACGCCACTTTTAACATTATTAAAATAAAAGTGCATATTTTAAAATAAATGTGCACAAATAAATACGTACATATGTGTACCACTTGAAAACTAGGATTAATTGCAATCAGTGTTGCCACAAAGATTTTTAATTTTTTACCAAATTTTTTTTTACCACATAACTTAAAACCAAAAGATGAAACCAGCAAATGTATCGTTAAACGATAGATAAAATTTACTTTTACAATTTTATAAATGGGTCACATTCGTATTTAATCGCAAAATTTTAATTAGTCCTGTGAAGTTATTTTCTTTGACCATTGGTTCCGGCAGGTAAAAATTATCCAAAACCCTGATTTGTGGGACTGTAGGGACTATGATCGAGTCGCCATATTGGGAAAAATGGGTTGTTTCCTTAAATTGCTATATTGCGAACTCATACTAAAAGTTCTGAGTTGTCAAGGCAAATTGTTACATTGAGGAGCCCTTTCAATTGTTGGCTTTCTTAAGGTGTAGACACATACATATGCAAGTACATAAGCAACTTTTTTGTTTTGTGTAATTGTAAGAAGGTTCAAAGTTATACATTTTTATAAGTAATAAGCTAGTATTAAAAACTTAAAAGAAAAGACTAACGTTGAAAAAATAAAACTTACAAAATTAAAAAAAAATACCAAATTACCAAACTCGTCCTAAAAAAGAAAAAAAAATACCAGTTTTGATAAAACCAAAGCGGCAACGCTGATTGCAATCTTCGATTTCCAAAAAGTTTTCTTGCAGTAGGGCACACGCACTTTTGTTTGTTGTGTTAGATAAATCTTCTTTTGAATGTATTAAATATGTATGTATATGAATTGTCTGTACATGCATATGTATGCACATATGTACATGTGTCGACAGATGGACATGGTAGTTCAAAAATTGTCAACGAATCATTTATTTAGTTATTAAATATATACATACATACATAGTTTACTCAGAATTAAGGGGCTTTATATACTTAGTTACTAACTGTACATATATATAATATATCTTCGCATACATATTAGACGATTATTAAATTTTTAAACAATACTACGAAAGAAGGCAGACTTAACCAGCAAAGCGGAACTGACACTAAAATTCTTCGCAACAAAATTACTAGTCAAGTATTAAAGGTGTTGTTGTACATACCTAATAATATGCATCCCACTCGCCAGCAGAAATTTAGACATTACAAAAGGCCACTTGGAGAAAGCAGCAAAGAAGGTGAATGTAATAAAACAATCTGTGCCGTGGTGAAAAAAGCTTTACGATCGTCGTGCAAAAATGACGCCGTATGCGATCAAATACAAAAGGATGTGGAGGAAATGTCCTGTCTTTTTGTCGAAGTTTCCAGATATATTCACTTTACACTGATGAAACGATGGAAACAACGAAACTTTGAACCCATAAATTTTCTGGAATGTTATTACCATCTGNCGTTTTAAACTTTAATTCTTAAAAAACGGCGTATAAAGGTAAAGGTATTTGCCACTTGTCCACTTTTGTATGTTTGTATATCTGTTGAGAAATTAAATAAGTAAGTTTATAAAAAGTATTAATTTCTTTCGTATTTTTATTGAAAGAAATCTCTTAAATAAGTATGTATGTACAAATGTACTGCCCCGAGGGGCACACATATGTATGCATGTATGGATATTAGTTTAAGTGTATTGAAAAACATTATTTTATAAAAAAAAAATAATAATATCTGCATACATACATACTTCAATAAAATGAGAATAAAATTAAATAGAAAACATCAAACTAACTGCTGGTATTTTTCATACAACAACTGATATGTTTTTATTTTATTTCTTTTAGGGCCATTTTCCAAAGAAACTTTAAAAATGCCTTATACAAAAAATTTCAAGTTCCTTGAGAAAACGGTCCTTAATTTCTCTATTTCTAGAAAGAACAGTTTCCATTGAGAACATTGTTCAAGAACCCGCATTGATGAATTTTTTAGGTTTTCCAATTGAAAATAGTACTTACATATAGTACATAGATAGTTTTACTACCAATATATTCGGCTTTGTGTAACACTAAAGCTAAAAAAACCGAATAGAAACGATGATTAAAAATTTTCGTTGTTTCAAGACAAAGCTTGTCAAAGCTAAACAACGCAATTATTTGCTCCCTTTTTCCACAAACAGAAATCCAACACAAACGAAGCCGTGCATACTGAAGGTAAACATAAAGGATTTGAAATCAAACTGCTACTAATGGAATTGAATGCAACTTTTTACGTGTTCACATTCATGTGTAGATACATTCATATTTGCAAAAAAGGTGTTTTTGGCGACTGAAAAGACCAACAAATGGGTGGTGCGCCAAAGGCGAAATGTCCGTGTTTTAGGCTCTTTAGAGATTTTTCGTTTCATTTCTAGTCGTATTGTGCGATTTTGATACATGCAAATGTATATATATGTGTATGTACATATGTATGTATATGTGTAGTATATGTGCATATGTACATTAGTGCGGTTCAAAAGTGTAAAACCGCTTCACTCTAATTTCCTTGAGGAAAAGTCTGCTAAGTGCGCCCATGAATACATTTGCTAATTTCTGCAAACCAAAGTTTCCGAAGTTTTTAAAATTTTTTGAACGATTTCGTTCCGAATATTCAAAGAAAATCATTTGAAGTTGTTTACACAAACTCGCAAAGAAATTTCTGTACGATATCTTAAAGACAATTCCTAAATTTCTTAAGAGAATCGAAATGTGCACAATAAATTTCTTCTTTGAAAATTCGCACAAAATCGGAATGGGGGAAAAAATGAAATCCTTATGGATTATTTAAGATTTCTCTACTATGCACATGTGTGGCGGCCGCTGTGGTGTAGCGGTAAGCAGTGCGCGCTTTCACTCATCAGCGCCTGGGTTCAAGCCCTGGTCAAAGCAACATCGCTAAAAAATTTAGAAAAAAGGGTTTTTCTTAACACCGGTCGCCCCTCGGCAGGCAGTGGTAAAACTGAGAGGTATTTCTACCAAGAAAAACAGCTTCTCATAAAAATACAATCGCCGTTCGGAGTCGGTCCATCCATTTTGTAAGCACCAATCTATTATTAAATATTATTATGCACATACATACATATCGCCACTAGACACGAATAAAGACGCGCGTGTTTTGATGGCAAAAAAGGACGCTCGAATAAAAAAAAATACGCGCTGAAGTGTTTTTATGCGTCTCTTTTGGCGGTCAACTTTTGAAATCGCGCCCTTTATTCGTGTCCAGGGACGATATGTACTTCGAAGAAAAATTTTGTTTAGGTACGCTATTGATTATTGCTTACACACTCACAATCGGCGTCAAATTTACATTTCAAAGCGCGCTGCCCTCAAAGTTTTAGCATTTTCGGATCACCCTAAATCATATGCCTTGTATAAAAGCAGACATGTGCACATTGTTGTGTATTTAACAGTTTTTTTGTTTTGAAAGTTCACACTGACTACGGCCTCTAATGGAGTGAATGCGCCAGCTGCAAATGCAACTTGAATTTGAATTCGATATTGTATTTGTATTTGTCGTCTGTCTCGGGCTAGGCGTGTTATTTAACCAACACAGGCTTAGGATAACATTGAAATATTAAACTTTTGAAGTTTGATAGAATTTTAAAATTTCTTGGTATTAACTTTAAATAATTGCTTATGTTAAATTTAATTATGATGAGGCTAAAATCTCTTTGATTTTTAAGAAAGGTTAACTGGCTGGAAATACTAGGGATATATGCAATCTTCTTCTTCTTGATTGGCGCTATAATGCTTGTATACATATTTACACGGACGTATGTGGACATATCCAAAAATACAATGCCTTCCATCCAATTATAGTAACTATAAATTTTGACAAAAATTAACCAAGGTAGCTGTAGATAGCTTAAAATGGGAAATGCAAAATGGCAAAGCACTGGAACTGAGCTGAAGAGAACCTACGTAAGTATACACATAAACATTTAAGTTTTAGGTGTTGTCTGCATTTTGTATGGAAAAGGATAAGCTGTTTGCCACAATTAACACTTTAGGTACTCGTACATGCATATACATGCATACATTTGTTTATGTAGTTACAAAGTAAATATGTTTGTGCAGCTAAAATGACGGCGATAAGTGTCACTTTGCCTCTAATGTAAGTTTTTTTTATTTGGAAATATGTTGTAAGAGGATTTATAGGCCGTGAAAATGATAATCTATTGTCAGACTTGGATTGTTGGGAGTTTTCATCGTCCAAATAAAGAAAAAAACATTTTGTTCTCAAATTTTTAAGTTTTGACCATCACTAATTTCCACAATTTCAAAATATTTAGTACTATCTAAAATTAAATCTATTTTCAAATAAACTGATAGCTCATTTATTGCAATCGCGACTTTTCTTAAATACGGCCTTGAATTGACCCTTGTCAAATGATGTTAGTTCTTGAGTCGTGTCTGTTTTTGGCCCATAATTGATTCGAGATAGAGTTGTGTCAAAATATGTCGAAAGATGTTGGCGTCAAAATATGACATAGTGTAAACCAGCCTTAAAGCTGAAGCTCCATAGCAGGTTTTTCAGGCCTTGTGGCTTTCGAAGTCGTTCAGGCTTTTTGCCGAAGAAACTATGTGCCTAAAATCAATTTAGAGTTTGGCAAATTGCGAAATCTACATATGTATGTATGTAAATATGTATTTTTGTAATTTAACATGCAAACGTCCATTTTAAAATTTAATTTGTTTGAAAATCGATTCGCTAACGGCGCGTTTACATTGGACAATGCTGTCAAGACAATGAAGATATACGTATTAGTTGTCAAAAACGCATGCATGTACTAGTGAAAAAGTGTGCATATATTGCTATTGTCATGACAGTATTGTCCGGTGTAAACCCTAAGTAAGTAATAAATAGGTTTATTCCTTATCTTTTTGGACTAAAATCTGAAAAGTGTCAAAATGCCAGAGCGTAAGCAAAATGCGCTCACTAAAAGAGAATAACAGGAAAAGTAAAGGAACGCAAAAAACCAAATTTTTAGTCCAAAGAATGGCAACAACAAAACTAACGTCAAATAAGAACAGAAATGTATGTACAAAACACATTCACACAAGCACAAGCACAATAAACACTTGCTATATCAATTATTTTTTGCCTCCTTCCAATTTCAATTCATTTCTTTTACTTTTTAGATTATTCTCACTTTTAGCGTATTCTTTAATTTCCGTTAATTTAAATTCAGTTGAGTTTGACACTTTTCAGGGTTTTGCCAGAAAAAATTCTTCTGACTAAATCTGACTACTTCGGACTGATGAGAGTCACTCTCACTGACTGTTGCTCTCTCATTTTTGCTGTCATTTCCGAGTTAAGGAACGCTTTTTGGACTATATCTGACTACTTCGGACTTTTTCTGACTATTTGTGGTAGATAAGGAACGCTCCTAATATGTACATACATATCGCACACCGTCTTCAAAAGAGTCACAACTCAAAATTTGGCATTTTTTAAATTATGCGCTAAAAATGTACACAGAGCTTTTATTTGCCTTTCAGCAAAAGCTGGAGCAAATTTTTGTTATAATTTGTTTAAAGGTAAAGTCGCCCTTCCCCATATGATTAGCATGTCCTACGAAATAGCTTTTCGCATTTATTGACGAACTTATTATTTTGAGTTGTGACTCTTTTGAAGACGGTATGCGATTGTACTAATATTTATCGTAAAAAAATAATAGGTCCACCCTTACATACATATATATGTACATATTATTTATTTTCCTACAAATGCTACGAGGTCCCAAGCAACTTTTGCTCAGCAGCTTTTGTTCTCCATGCATTCAGTTTAACGTTGCATTTCTCACACAATTGCTCTATTTTATGCAGCTGTGCATAAATGAGTGGTGCATCATCCAAACAGAAAACATTCCCACCTCCAACTTGAACCTTAGCCAACATAAGCATATAACAAACTCCCACCCACCGTCGCCACTGTCATTGTCTCGTTTCGCGAATACGTCCTCATCAACAGCAGCAACCTGCGAAAAGCTGGCCTACCCACACAACTGCACACGGATTTCGCCTGCCAGCGTTACTGCATGGCTGACTTCGTCTTGAAGCATAGCAGCATGTCACTTCAGCCACAGTTGTCCCAAGAGTTGTACTCAAACTGGATGTAAACACGCCAATAAAAAAAAATTAAAAAACAAAAACAAAACCAGGAAAAAAGAATGGCTGCCAGCATTCATCTACTCATAGTAAGTATCACAGATTGTGGCAACGCATTAATTTACGTGCAGGCACTTCATTCAGCCCAGCACGAAATACAACAACACAAACAAGGCCAACAAACAGCAATAACTCCCGCACTGAGCAGCGCCTCCAGGTTGGTTGGTGCACATAATTTGCGCGCATACAAATTGCACTTAAATTGCAGCTGAAATGCTGTCACTGCACCTTCTATACAATTATGCAAACATATGTATGGATGTATGTACACATGTATGCATGTATGTACTTATGGTGTCTAGCATATGAATTTACGTATATACAGTCAGTCAGTAAAGTTTAGGTACAGCGAATTTTTTACAATACGGGCAACTATTTTTTAAATATTTTATTTTTCACAAATTTTTTATAAAAATATGGTCAATTCTACAACAAAAACCCCCAAAAAAAAGTTCCAAACCTTGTGCAAAATTAAAGAAAATTCTGCAAAATTTCATTCAAATATTGCACTTTTTATTTACGCTCTCTAGAAAGAAGTTGGGTATGCAGTTTTTTAG